CTTGAGGCTTCAGTGTTCAAATGTAGAAGCTGAACATCATAATTTTGTCCATAAGATAATGGCTAGTGGAAACCGGAGAAGCAAGTCCAAATTAGTCATCAGGGCAAAGGGGGTCTGAGGTGAGTATTAGGTACAGAGCAAACGAGAATGGCAAACGTGGGAAAGCTAGGGCAACTAGGAAACAACCTGCACATACTCGATGGTAGAAAGCAGCTGCCGACTGTATGGGCTGAGCAAATCAGATTAAAGGAACACCCACAGTTGCCAAACAGGTACCCCAAGTACTTGAATAAGTAAATATTCTTGAATATAAGGCATTTTTCATGAATCTTGCTATGCTAGATATAGTAAGAAGACAGCATAGGTTTGAGATCATATAAGATAATGGCCCCTGCATCCATGCTAGACCTATCCAGACAGCCTAAGCGCTCACCTGGCACTACTCATATCTACATCTCTATGAGCTCTTCAGAAATTTGCTGGGCAGTGGTGGTGCACACCTTTAATCTCCCTGCATTTGGGAGGCAGAGGCAGGCAGATCTCTGAATTCAAGGCCAGCCTGGTCTACAAGAGCTAGTTCCAGGACAGGCTCCAAAGCTACGGAGAAACCCTGTTTCGAAAAATAAAACAAAAGAAGAAGGAGGAGGAGGAGGAGGAGGAGGAGGAGGAGGAGGAGGAGGAGGAGGAGGAGGAGGAGGAGGAGGAGGAGGATAGAAATTGAACATTTTGAACCAGCATCACCAACTTCTTAATTCTTATGCAATCTCATATATTGCCTTTTCTGGAACATCGGCTCCTGAGGAATAGGGAAAACATCTAGTTAATTTTCTCATCTCCTATTGAGTCAATAAAATGAGCTCACTAGCACACCCTCAAAAAGTATGAACAAATAATTGTTATCTATTGCCCAGGTCCTGCAATAGTTAATTCAATTGTCAACTTCTATTTTAAATTTTATTTCACTTTTATGTGTTTTGTCTTCATGTATGTGTGCACCATGTGCATTCAGTGCCCATGGAGACCAGAAGAGAGCATCAGATCTCAAGGGACTGTAGTTACAGACTGCTGTGCGCTACCATGTGGACTCTGGGAATCAAACCAGGATCCTCTGGAAGAGTAGCCCGGCTCTTAACTGATGAACCATCTCTCTAGATCCCAATTTTTAATTTCCTAAGAAAAACTTTTTATCCCTGAATTCCTTCTGGAAATATATGAAAGTTATTTAGCTAAATAATTTTAAAAAACATTTCTGAATTGTAACTATTAGGATAATAGTAAGTCATTATGTATCTCTCTCTCTCTCTCTCTCTCTCTCTCTCTCTCCTTCTACCTACAACTTTACACGTATAGATGGGTGGAGTCAGTCTTGATTAGCACAAATGCCACGATGAAATGCATTATTTTATACTCTAACTTTACAAACTAATTTAAAAACTCTTGTTTGGCAGGTTAATTGGATTAGGTACACATACAGGTAATTAGTAAACACACCTCTGGTCATGTCTGTGAGGGGACTTGCAGAGAGTATTAGCTAAGAAGGGAAAGCTGGTCCTGTGTGTGGCTGGCACCATCAAATAGGCTGGAATCCCGGGAATTGTAAGAGAAAGGAGAGACGGAGGAAGGGTGCAGAAGCATAGGCTCCACTCTCAATGTCCAGGCACTCTGAAGTGAACTCTCCCTACATGCCCCCCACCCAGTAAAATGGACGGAACCTCTGAAACTGTGAGTAAAAGCATCTTTTCTTCCTTAAGCTATCAGGCAAGTGCATTTTGTCACAGCAATGGAACAACAGAGCACGTTTTATAACTTATTGTTTCTAGTATGTCCCTGGCACACAGTGGAAACTAAAGAAGTATTTTCAGTGAACTGGCTCCAATATAGATATATTAGTTGAGGAGAGACATATAGATGTGTTTCTAAAATTTAATATGAAGTATTGGTGAGCTGAATCTTTATTAAAATATACAAGAGGAACCTGTTATTCAAGTTTTCCCAGGGTAAAATTTACAAGTCTTTGGAATCATTTTGTAACATAATAATAACTCCTTAATTTAATCCATTAATTGAAGTTTCACCTTTTTTTTTTTTTTTTTGAGACAGTGTTTCCCTGTGTAGCCCTGGCTGTCCTGAAACTCACTCTGTAGACCAGGCTGGCCTTGAACTCATAGAGATCTGCTGGCCTTTGTCCTTCAACACTGGGATTAAAGGCACACACCACCATTGCCTGAAGACATTCCATGTTTTTTATATATCAAGTTTACTCAATAAGGAAGTCAGATTAAATAGTTTATAGTAACACGGGAGCCAAATGACTTATCTTGGAAATAGTTTGAGTGTATCTCTCAAGGTTTCATGTGTTGAAAATGTGGTATTCCACGCGGTAATGTTAGGAACAGGTGAAACTTTGAGAATGGGGTCTGGTGGGAGGTAATCAGGTTATTGGAGGTACTGAGCTGAGAAGGAATCAATGAGGTTCTTGTGGAAAGAGGCTGTTATAAAATAGACAAACTGGCCCCTCCCCCACTGTTTGGCTTTCTGTTTCACTGTGTGATCTCTCCTTGCTTATGTTCCTGCTATGATGTGGTTCATCCAAGGGAATCTTAAGACAGAGGCCAAGCAAAAGGGGTCGCCCACTCGTGGGCTTCCAGTTTCCTCTGCCGTGAATAAAATCTTTGTTTTATATATTATTCAGCATTGGGTGTTTTGTTACAGCAACAGTAAACAAACCACATATAAATATTGTGGAAATGAACTAAGGATTGCTCATACAAGTAACTATTCTTCCGACGGCCTTTTCTCTTTCATCCCCTCTCTCCAAACACTTTCTCCCTGTGTCTTACATTTAAATGGTGACTCATAATGCTATAAGTAACCTTTTTGCTTTCCAATACTTATTTTCACACCCATTACCCATTGCTTACACGCATGCCTCACCAGTTTCAAGAACAGGTATATGTCCCACGGTGTTTGGATCATCCACAGTTTCTAGTGTCTTCAAAAGATCTGTCTTTGATTGTGGCTTTGGTATGATCATGTTGGAAGTTGAAGCTTCCCCAGCTGAGAAGCAAAAGCTGTACGTCACCCTCAGGGTGGGACTCAGAGAGGGGCTGCACCCTACACTTACATTTTGCCTAAAAGACTTAACTATTGAAAACTTCCTTTCCATAAATACAGTGAAAAAGATTAAAAGAAGTGATGGTTGTTCTCAATAACTAGTTTACCTTTCAAAGATTCTATTACTTTGATAATAACAGAGGCAAAGTAGAACTCATTTCTGCAGATTAGAATAGAAAATCACTTTTCTTTGGGCCTTGACTTACATATTTGGGGGTGCCTATAAGAGTAACAACAAGAACTCCCACAAATGAGCCTAGACATATTACAATAATCCATAAATTAAATAGAAATCAATGATCATTCCATAAATCTTGTTCTTCCTTATCTGCCTGGGGCAAGTATAACATCTAGAGATATAACACAGTGACAAATATTTTTCAAACAAGGAATAGAAATAGTTGACCCCTTAGGCCTGTAATTATACAGGAAGCTCAGAGAAAGCTCATCTCTTGCCAATGCAGCATAATTAACGGTACCTGTGCTCTGATCAGTCCTGACTACTCGGCGAGACTGAATCACGCACATGAAAAATTGCAGTTGAAATTCGTCTTTATGCATGGCTACTTCCTAGAAATAAAGAGTTTAATCCAGATAAATAGATCTGTTGAATAATTAAAGTGTCCAAGATTGACATGGTCTAGGTGGAATTAATACTGCCAAGCTTTAGGACTTGGCCACATAAAAATATCAGTATATAAGGTGATATAAATAATCTATTTTTATATATACACCCAAGTCGGGGTCCCTGGACAAGTTCACCTCCTTCCCTTTCCCAGTTGCTCAGAGTATGGAAAAGGCTGGAGCTTCCAGAGGTTTTCCATACTTTAAGACTCAATTCAGCCGGGCCTTGGTGGTGCATGCCTTTAATCCCAGCACTAGGGAGGCAGAGAAAGGCAGAACTCTGTGAGTACGAGACCAGCCTGGTCTACAAGAGCTAGTTCCAAGACATGTTCCAAAGCTACAGAGAAACCCTGTCTCGAAAAACCAGGAAAAAAAAAAAAAGGACTCAATTCAGACAGGCAGTCAACTGGGTCTAGAATACCTGTTCTGAAGCACCTCTCCAAGGCTTCTAGGTAGGGTCTGAGCCAGAGGCCTACTAAACTAAGGGAGCCTGGTAAACAATTTGAATGAACAAACTTATTTCATTTCCATTATTCTCGCTTAAAAAGTCTGGCCTGAATTACATGTCTAAGACCTCTGGCGAGCTTAGAAATCACTGTCTTAACTTCCTCCAGTCATGGAAGGTTCTGCACGTTGTCAGTCTTAAGCTAAGGTGTTCTCAAAGTTTCTGTTCCCGGTCTCTGGTCCCCGTCCCCCACTTCCTGTGATCCCTCAAGCTTGACAAGAAGCACATTAATTTCCAGAAGATACAGTTTGAAATCGACTTAAGATATCAAATTCTCATTTAACAAGCAAGGCACAACAATGTAAGGCCACAGTGAAAAACGGCCACGGAAACCTGAGCGTAAGCCAAAAAAAAAAAAAAAAAAAAATCAATGAACGGAACCAGAAGACAGCGGGTAAGGGAGCCGAGGGACAGAGAAAAGCAAAGGACGGCGGGCGCACTAACACTATTCCAAGTGTGAGAAAGAGGAAAAGCCCGGTCTGAGGGCGACCGGAGACTAAGACTAGACTCAAACGCTCCTGTGGCTTCTCAGGCTTCGCCACCTCGCGCAGGCGTCCCACGAGCCTGTACTCTGCTCTTTGACCTCTTGCCCCACCCCCTTTCCTCCTCAGCAGCTGCCCAGCCGTCTTCCGGTGCTGTAAAGACGGTTCCGGTTCACGGAGGTTCCCGGGCTTTGCGTTCCGCGCCCGGCCGGAAACTCCTTTGCCTAGCAGCCGGTTCCGGTTCGGTGAGTGGCGGCGGGAAACTGGGGGAGGGGTGAGGATGGAGGGAGACTGGGCCGGGAGGCTCTGTCGGACCGGGCCCGCCGGCCTCCGCGGGGCTGAGCGGAAGCGAGGACCGCGGTGGGGACAGTGCTTTTTCGTCCGTCCCGCCCCCTAGGACCACCTCCACTCCCCCCTGCTGTCCGGTGGCGGCTGTCTGGCCCGGGGCTGGTAGCCGGGCTTCCCGAGGCCGCCCTTTGAGGCCTCTATCGCCTGACCCGGGGAAGAGGCTGTCTCCCCGCGGTCACAGCAGGCCCTTCTCAGCGCCCAGCTCTACTTTTCCACTGAGAAAAGATCGCTTGGGATTCCTGGAGTTTCCCGCCAGAGCAGGGTCCTCTCCAAGGGAGAGCCGTTTTCACCAAGGAAGTTCAGCTTTCAATCCCACCTGCTTCACCTCTCTTCTTCCTGGAGACCTGAATGATACTTCTCGACTACTTCAGTGTCCCACGTAAACAATTCTCCAACTCTTTTACCCTGTGGTATTTCCCCGAGATTGTGATATCGCTAGTGCCACCACCAGAGAGAAACGTCTGGACCCTTCTGCACAGGTTATGAAACCCCCCTTAACTGCCACAGCTTTCTTACCTGGCTCATCGCCTCTTGGTAATTGGCTTGAACCTTTTCTTCGTATACCCTAATGTGATCTTTCTGGCTGTGGGCTAGGTTTCCCTGGTCTTGAGCTTGGTGATTTCTGTTTTATCAGTACCTCTACAGTTTTTCTGTTATCTTGTTGGCAATAACTCGCTCCTTTATCACTTTAAACTCACACTTGTTAAAATTACTTAGTTCATGTGGCACACTTACTGTACTGGAGTGGTGGTGATTCTTGTAAAAATTAGGCCGTCTGTTGTAGTCTGCCAATTGTTTGACTTAAGGTTTTCGTTGTAATCGGAAATTCTGGATGAAGTAGATACATGCGTACGTGTTCTTCATAAAGAGCATTTTGTATTCAGGACTTTGGCTGATACGTGGATTACACCGCCTTTGAGGTGACAGTGACACCTTCATGATTGACTTTAACCTTCCAATTAGACTGCCTGCTCCCCCTCCCCGTCCCTTTTAGACAGCTTCATTCATTTTACCTGATTTTAGTTCATTACCCCGACTGCAGAAGTGGCGATCCTGTCGCTCCACTGTTGTTGAGTCTAGAGAGGGAGTGGAAGAGAATACAAACAGGTTCTGCCACTTGTGGCTAACGTGATGTAATTTTTTCTTTCACTGACTTATATTTCTCCTACCAGTTGCACCATCTTTGCTGTGTCTGTGAACACACCAGCCTCTGCCTCCTGAGTGCTGGGATTAAAGGTGTGCGCCACCACACCTGACTTCCTATGAACTTCCAAGTGGCAAAGACCATCTTATTTGTGTTTGTATCCCAGCACCCGACACTTAGTGTAGTTAGTGTACGTATGGAAGAAGGTAAAAAATTGCTTACAACTGTAGAATATTAAGGTGTTTACGGCACCAGTTTAATTGGGGAGAGATTGCACATAGAAATACTATTATGGGGACCGGAGCAGAGGATGATGGGGTGTAAACTGTATCATGTGCTTGGCTGTATCCCAGAACTCCAGAGTAGGGTTACTCACACCGTTTTCACAGCCTGGCTCTGGATACAGCTAACTGTACAGTGCTATATGTTGCCGGTAACTTCATCGTTAAATTTTTTAGTCATCTCTTCCAAACAGTACAGCCTTACAAATGATTTGTCAATTTCTATTCTGTTGCAGTCAAGACCTTTTCTTTTCCCACAGATTTCCCTGTCACTGGTGCCCCACTACTAACTTAATTCACATTAATAACTAGCTGCTTTTTAATATTCTTAATTAAGTGACAGATGCACACTAGCAATGAATTATTAGAATGATTTTCTTTTGTTGTTGTTTTTCTGAGATAGGGTTTCTCTGTGTAGTCTTGGTTATCCTAGAATTCACTCTGTAGACCACGCTGGCCTCACAGACATTGGCCTGCCTCTGCCTATGTGGCACACGCCTTTTATCTTAGCTCTCGGGAGGCAGAGGCAGGCGGATCTACAGAGCAAGTACAGGACAGCCAAGGCTACACAGAGAAACCCTGTCTCAAAAAAACAAAAAGAAAGAAAGGAAGAAAAAAATGTCATCCTTGTTAGAATTTGAAGACATCTAAGGCTTGTTATCTGTTTTTTAAGTCTCTTCTTGCAACACATTACTAATGAAGATACTAAAAGTACACACAGAAACAGGATATGTCTGTGCTAAGGTGTGGATGTGGGGCTCTAGTCATCTGAACGTGTAAGTCAGGGTGGATTACCCAAAGCTAGCTGGAGGTTCTGTTTCAATTATCCAGGCCAATCTGAATGAAGATGTTTGAGGGATGTGAAGCTGTGCTATGCTTGAGACGTGCACTTGCTGAGGGATTCATGGGGCCTTCCTTTGGCCCCATCTGTGTGATTTCATGCAAGTGATTTAACTTTTCTGAATTAGTGACTTTCTAGCTTGTTTTCCCCTTCCCTTCCCATTATGAAAAAGAAATTAACTGGGGTTGTTCTACTGGATCCCAGATTCTGTTTTCTTTCTTTTTGAGAGAGCATTTTGCTGTATTATAATCCAGAGTGGCCTCAGATTTGGAATCTTTCTACCTTTCAAGTTCTGGAATTAAATTAGTTGTCATCATCTTCCTCTTCCTCCTCTTCATCATCCCTCCCTCTCCCCCTTTTCCCTCTTCTTTCCCACCTTAATTTGGATCCTAAAAAATTCTACCCTAGGGCAAGAGGAATATTCAGGTTAAGAGCTCTGGCTTCCAGGGGAGCCAGGTTCCACACAGGTTCACAACCGTCAGTAACTCCAGTTCCAGGGCTCTGATGCCCTCTTCTGATCTCCTCAGGTACTAGGCACACACATGGTACACAGACATACATTCAGGCAAAATACTCATACAAATAAAATAATCTTTAAAAAAAGAAAGAATTCTACCCTGTTAGAAAAAAGAGAGGGGAGAATAGCCTGGAGAAATTGTGATTAGAAGCTTTATGCTGCATTAAGCATTTAGAGATAGTTGAAACCTAAATCTAAGGTTTAAGCTATCTGGGGAATCCTGGCAGGCCTAGATGCTCTGCTCACTGAAGCAGCCTTCCATGTATGCTCTTTGTTGTGACCATCAAGAAAGCCTGTTGACATCATACAGTCTCTTGACTACTGTGAGGATTCAGGATGACTGTGGACTTGCTAATCTAGTGCTCAGTCTTTTTTTTTTTGGTTTTTCGAGACAGGGTTTCTCTGTAGCTTTGGGGCCTGTTCTGGAACTAGCTCTGTAGACCAGGCTGACTTTGAACTCACAGAGATCCACCTGCCTCTGCCTCCCAGGTGCTGGGATTAAAGCATGCCACTACTGCCCAGCTAATGCTCAATCTTTTTAACCACGGTCCTAAAAGTGGGTGTGCATGTGTGGTTATGTTAATTAAGTAGCTCCAAGCTGTTAGACTCTTAACTACCCCAACCCTTTTCTGGGAAAATTCATTATCTGTAATTTCTCTTTCTGCAGTTTCAGTTATAGTCAACTGTATTTAGAAAATAAATGGAAAATTTTATATTTCGAGACAAATGATATTCATAAGAACACATTCACACAGTGTGTGTTTTACTATGTAACTCTAGCTGGCCTAGAACTCACCATGTAGACCAGGATGGACTCAAACTCACAGAAATAGATCTACCTGCCTCTGCTTCCCAGATTGTTCTGTTTTTATTACTGTTGTTCTAATTTAAATTAAACTTTCTTAGATAATTATGTATAGGAAGTAAGTGTGTGTGTGTGTGTGTATAATTCAGTCCCACTTGTAGTTTTAGACTGTTGTGATCCAAGGCTCTGAATCACCTCAAGTAGACACAAGAAATTACAGAAGGCAGGGGAGCACAAAAGAAGTGGGAAAGAGGGGGAGACTGATAGATCAGGGCACAGAACAGACCCAGGAACTGAACTACAACCCCGAATGCCAGTTGAAGCAAGTATTTAAGAATAAAAATCATAAACATTTGCTGCCAAGTTACAGTTTTTCACCAATCAGAATTCAAAGATTAGGGGCTTCTTTGAATGTTACATTATTATCAACCGATATACAGTGTAAGCCTTTCAGTCCAACCAATCAGATTCATTTGTTTTATCTGTTCTTGGGAACAGTCATATGTTTCTAGAAAACTAAAGATGCATAATGACACTGTCTATGGTTTAGGGAGAAGGTAGGTCAGCTATTGGAAGGTTCCCAGCTCCCCTAAGGCTTGGGAACCCGAATTGTATTTCACCTTACAGGTAAAATGGTGTCTGAAGTCAAAATGGCAAAACTTAAGACAAGGTGCTTTTTGCCTGTTCCCAACAAGACATATACTAGATGCTTTGCAATATATCTCCTTCTTGAGGGGAGCTTCTGTGTAGATAAAAGAGCTTTGGTTTAAGCAGGTTTGATTTGATTTGGTTGGTTAGTTTGGCACTAAGGATTGAATAAAAGGCCTTGTCCATGCTATGCAAGGATTTACCACTGAACCTGTTCCAACTCTGGTTGTTGGGGTTTTTTTTTTTTTTTTTATTTTTTTTTCTTTTTTTTTTTTTTTTTTAGCAGTTTGGTGGATCATGTTGGAGGGAGAGTGCTTTGTACAGGTGAAAGTATTCCTTGATTGTACTCAGTAAATTTTTGTCATTTTTGTTTGTCTGCTAATAAGATTTATAGAAATCTTAAGAGAAATCTTAGGATCACAAAGACTCACTTGCTTAGAAAAATGTCTTAGTATGAAGTAATAGAAAAAGCAGTGGATTAGGAAGAATTGCTAGTTGTAATTTCATTGCAGTTGCTAGCTGTATGATTTTTATACATGAGATTCAGTCTCCTGGGGGGGGGGCTCACTCCATTTCTGCTTTGAAGATCTGTGACTCTGTGGGTTACCTATAATTGCTGTTTAATGCAGCGTAGTTTGCAGCAATGTTTGGAATTTATTTTTCACTTTTTTCTCAACAAATCAATAGCCTTTGCCATTTTTCTCCAGTAATGACATCAGTGCCACTTGTGTGTAAGCTCCTGTTATATAATATTTAAACTAGATGCTTTATGGTTTATTTATATTTTTGTCTTCTTTTATAGGTTTTTGTATCTTTGCTAAAGTCAGTGATGTGAAAAGACCTGAAATGGGTAAGACTAACTAAAGCAGTCCTTCCATCCTCTTAGTTACTGACTAGTTAGGCTGGGGAGAAAGAGCGAGTTTCCCAATATTTGCTGTTTGTGTCTTTGTACATAGTAATAATATTACAAGATCTTAGTCCTAACTAAATGCTGATTGACACATAGATAGATACATAGATAGATAGACACACTCAGCATTATTTTCCTTTGGTTAATACATTGCTTACAGAGTCATTTAAGATCATTTTCTTATTCATTGTTTTGAAAAAATAAATGCACACTAGCAGTATTTTTTATGCTTACTATGTATCTACTCTAAGTATTTAATATACGTTAATTCATTTCTATTGTTTCAGTCATCTTAGAAGGATATCTAATAGTGTATACAAAATATACAGGATTGTACCAACAATGTATTTTATCAACAAGGAAAGTGAGATACAGGTTAAGAAACCTGCTTGGGGTCATATTCTCCATCTAGCAGAGTTCTATCCGTGTTCTTTAGTACTGTGTTACACTGCCTCCTGTAGGATAAATAATTTGAGGAAGGTAAATAATTGTGTTTCCTGTTGCTAGTGATATTGAAACTTTGTACTCAGAACATGTCCCCTGTTTTGTTCATTGCATTCTCTCTGTAAAGGAGCTCAGTGTTCAGACAGGAATAGCAGTCAGATTAGGAATAAGTTGGAATGGCTACATCCATGTTTCTTTTAAATTCACCTTAAACCTTTCTTTACTTCTTACATTTTTTAAAATATTTATTATGTGTACAATATTCTGTCTGCATGTATGTCCACAGGCCAGAAGAGGGCACCAAACCTCATTACAGATGGTTGTGAGCCACCATGTGGTTGCTGGGAATTGAACTCAGGACCTTTGGAAGAGCAGGCAATGCAGGAGCCATCTCTCCAGCCCTACTTCCTACATTTTTGTTTCCACCTCCACCTCCACCACCACCACCACCACCCTCAACATGCACTCTTCTTCTTTCTCATAGTTTACCCCCTCCTCATTTGTTTCTATTTTCTCATTGCTGTTATCAGTGTAAGTCAGAGTTCTCATAGCTCTCATTTGTTCCCGTGTCAGCCCTTTTATGGTAAAAATGTCTCTAAAGTAAGATTCTGCCATAGTACTGTAGCCGTTGAGATGATACTTACTAAGAGTCATACAAATAAATTCTACTTTTTTACAGAAAAAATCAAGTGGATTAAGAAGTTTTTAATGGCTGGTATGTTGTGGGAGGGCACATGCACATGTTTGTGTAGGTCCATGGGAATGCATGTACAGGCCCAAAGAGGATTTTGAGTATCCTGTCTGCCTTATTTCTTTAAGACAGGGACTTTCACTGAATTGGAAGCTTACTGTTTTTGTTAGGTTACTGCTGGTCAGTAAGCTTTTAGAACCTGCCTGTTTCTACCACACAGGTAAACACCGCCTTGCTTGATTTTTTTACATGGGTGCTGGAGATTCAGTCTGAGGTTCTCACACTTGTACAGCAAACATTTCTGCCTACTGCGCCATCTTCCCAGCTCCTGGGTTCAATTTTAAAGCACCTTTTTGAGTTAAGACAACAAATGAATCGCTGTGAACAGAGGTTTTGAATGGTGATGTACGCTCACTTCTTCCCTTTCTAAGTGATAGGGCTTGCTCTGTCATCCATGCTGATCCCAAACTCAGGGTCTGCTAGTCTGCCTTTGCTTTGCAAGTACCTACAACTTGTAGAGCATGGCTCTTTACCCAGTATCCTATTTTTTTGAATATTAAATTTATTTATTTATTTGTGTTTTAAGATTTGTTTATTATGTATACAATGTTCCTACTGCCTGTATACCTCCATGCCAGAGAGGGCACTTAATCTTATTACAGGTGGTTGTGAGCCACCATGTGGTTGCTGGGAATTGAACTCAGGACCTCAGGAAGAGCAGTCAGTGCTCCTAACCTCTGAACCATCTCTCCAGCCCAATATTAAATCTATTATACTTAAAACGTTAAAAGTTTTCTTTGGGGGAAATTTCATTATTTTAAAAACTATTAATCAGACTGTTTTTAGTCTTGTGTAGGTTTTGAGCTACTTGTTAGATGGTATCAGTCAATTCTAAACTGGCCAGTGTCTTCACATGTTAAAGAGGGTTTTATTTGACTATATAATTCTTTGAAAATCATTTTTACTAGGTGAAAAGATTGACTCAAGAAAGTATGTTTGAAGGATTGTGTTACTTGATCTAATCTGAACTCTTTCCCTAGATGACACTGCCGACGGGGTGAAGATGGATGCTGGAGAAGTAACTTTAGTGAACCACAACTCCACCTTCAAAACCCATCTCTTGCCACAGTCACATTTTCCCAAGGACCAGCTTTCACTTTCTGACCAGCAGGTTAGGAATCATTTTTTCTTTTACTAAACTAATAGTTTTGTTCATTATAAGTAGTCATCTGATACAGTGTGAATGCCACACTAAAATATCCACACTAAAAAAAATTATTTTTAGAATAAATAATTTTAGTGTTTGGATTTCTGCTTGGTTTAAGATTTAAAAAAAAAAGTTAAGACAAAAGAGATGGCATATGAATTAAGAACAATATTTTTAGAAAGCTCCTCATTGTTCCTCAGGATATTAAACTATTGACACATAGATCTTTCTTCTTTTAAACTAAGTCTTAAAATTACTAAGCATTAGCTAAGGGGTGATACACAGCCATTCTGAGGAGCTTTGGCTGTGATATAATTCACAGTGTTTCAAGGTCTGGCCCAGAACGCAGCATGTGCATTGCCAGGGACCTGGTGAAAATACAGAATCTGAGCATCTCCCACTGGAACAGAAGCTGTATTGTGAAAGCATCCCTAGCTGACTTATATGCAAACTAAAATAACAGGAACACTGTTGAAACAGTAGTTTTAGGCCAGGGCTGGCTCAGCAGATAGAGAAACTTTCTGCCAAGCCCGATTACCCTAGTTTGATTCCTTCAAGTTGTCCTCTGACCTTGACACTTATGCCATGGGATGTGGAATAAATAACTGTAATTTTTAAAATTAAAGCAAAGAAAATAGTCTTGCTCAGTAGGAAAGCCTGTGGAAATTTGAATGAGATGATTTGTTGCTGTGTGAATCTGCTTATGTGTAGTAGATTAGGCACTGGTCCCCCATAGTCATGTGAGTGTTGCATATATACTTACATCTTATACTTGAGAAGAGGTGATCTGTAAAGTGTCCAAAAGAATCAAAACCAAGTTGATATTCTCAGCTTCTGTGACTTGTTATAACTTAGTTTCTGATAGAATACAGTAAATGCAGATATACCATCCAGTGAACATCCTTTAAGCTGTAGAGCAGATAGTTACGTCCCATCTTCCCCTGAAATCTGAGTAATTTCACCAAATTGTCTTCTTCTTGTTAGTATACAGTTTATTTATAATATAATAAATATATACATAGTATATTGAGTTACAAAGTATATCATAGTCCTGTTTAATGATGTTTTCCTTAGTATAGACTTTTATTCTCTTTTATTGTCAAAATTATGATTTGAGAAAGCAATCTTGTGTTTTAGATCCTGCCTTCTAGGCAGGGGACTTTGGACCGACCTTCCTCATGTTCTACAAGAAGTGCAGCTTATAATCCAGATTACTATTCAGGTATGGCCCATTGCTTGTATTCAGCTCACTGCACACCCTTCACGTTTCTTCATAGAAATAATCTGTGTTTACCATCTCTAAAGGTGAAGGCATGATCAGGTATAATTGGGATGTGACTTGGTGGTAGAGCACTTACCTATTGTGCTCAGAGCCCTGGGTTTCCTTCCCAACACTGTGAAAAATAAGAAGTGAAAGAATTTTCCAAAGCAGCATGGCGTTTTTCCATTATAGCATCATTTTAGTTAGTTATTTATGTGTATGGTTTTGGTTGCTATAATAGTTTGAATTTAATGTCAACCAAATACTAATTTTTGAGTGGGAAAGTTTTTTTGAATTTTCTCCTCTTTGTCTCTTTCATTATAGAAAGTAAAATGGCTTTGTTTTTTGTTTTGTTTTATTTTTTTTACTATGTATATGTGATACAAAGGGTATTTGTTTCGTATTGATTTAAGCCACATGGCTAACTTATTTCTATTCTTGAAACAATTAAACCTGAAAATTGATTTCTGTCCAGGTTTGTTCCTCCGTCAGGGCAGGACATGTTAGCTACATGTCTGCCTAGCGCCTGCCACAGCCATGTGCTTGTGTATTCAAGGACTTTCTTTCTGCTCAACCTGGGATCCAGAGTAGAAGCTAGCATCCACTAAGTGACTCCTATCCCTGGCCGGTGGCCTTGTCTGCCTCTGACCTGATAACTAAGACTGCCCATCAGTCTCTGGGCACTGTGACTCTGCAACATTACAGTGGTCTTCCCAGGTCTTTTCGCTCTGTCACTTCAAATCCCATTAGACCACGAGTATGGGAATAGTAGGAATACCGTAGAGCCTGCCTACATGAGAGGGTTTTTTTTTTTTTTTTGTAAAGATAAGCTTATTATAAATTTGCACATAATAATAATTATTATTATTTGGCTTCCCCAGGATTCTTTGTCAGCAAGATGAGATCTCCTCCCCTAAAAAGACGTTAGTATGATGTTCTTTTAGACTTATATTATATTTAAGTGTGTGTTATTTAGGTGGGTGGTACTATACGCTGGGCACTAGTTTTCCCCTTGGGATGGGCAGTGGCCTTTACATAGTATATGTGAATAATTTCAATTGTAAAAAGACTCTGAAAGTAACTCCTTTGCCATTATTAAAAAGGGCTTTTTTGTGAAGAAAGAAATGTGGTGTGATAGATAGTTCATTATTAATCCTACAGAAAAAAACATTTGAATAGTTAATAAAATCAGATCATTAATATTTCCATTTGAATCATGCTGTGTTTGCTTGTAATTTCATATGCCAGTTTTCCTTTAGATAGAAGCTTTCCATTGGGTTGAAAATAATAAATAGTTGTATAGAAAATTAGACTTAAACCCCTTGACTAAAACCAAATTTTATTTAACTCCTCTCTCTTTGGCCTCTTTCGATTTATCTCAGCATATATTCGTTGTACACATTATATGATTTGACACATAAAAATCTTTATAACTCAGAGTTTGTATTTTTTGTTCTCTATATGTTCACATATTCTTGCCCATATTTATTGTTTTTTATTGATTTTTAATCTGAGCATTGCTATGCACAATCATAATCCCTTATGTGTAGTTTCAAACTCCAAAAACTAAAAAACATTTTTTTTTAGATTTGACATTAAAACCTACATGAATTAGTATGAATTCTCTGTTTTGACTTCACTGATTCCTATTAAAAAGTACATACCCATTTTGCTGCCTGTACCAATATTTGTTTATAGAGGGCTGCTCCAACTTGCACTGACAAATGTTATGTAGAATAACAGGTTATTTTGCCAAAATTCCAAGTCTGTAATTCTGAAGTACAATTGGCCCTCAAGGCTTTATGATTTGGAATGAATGCCCAGTGCCTTCATTTGTGTCCTGCATCTTAAGTCCACTATACCTCTGCTATTATTAATTATTATTAATAACATCACTTAAAAGCATTCATATAGTGGTATATTATTTGTGTTTTTATAAATAAAGCTTGCCTGAAGGTCAGTGCAAAGGAGCCACACTAGTTAGCCATATAGGCCAGGCAGTGGTGGTGATGCACACCTTTAATCCCAGCACTAGAGAGACATAAGGCAGGATGAGACAGGAACTTGTTCTTTCCGTCTGAAGATTTCATAGAGGTAAGAGCTCTCTAGTGGTTTGGCTGTTTTGCTTTTCTGAACTTCAGGTAGAACCTTAATATCTGCCTCTGGATTTTTATTATTTGTGCTATATATAGATTTTTTTCTTAAAATTTAGATGTACCTTAATACTGACAAAGATATACCAGAGATTACCCCAGATCCTCTTTTTCTTGACTGTGGCAATATTTGACCAGATTCCTGGCTTTCTACTTAGCAGGCACAAATTGTTGAGAATTATTACATTTTTCCTGTGTTTATTATCATTCTACAAGTTGATCCCATACCAAAAATCTTTCAATAACATTTATTTCTCATTTGAATTTATGACCTTTTTAAGAAAATTTTTAAAATACTCTTTTGTATTAGTACATGAGAGAAAAATAACTGAATAATTAAGTCGTGCTGAAGAAGGAATACTGAGCTTTCTGTTACGCTCATTCTCCATGTGCTATCTACAGCCTGAAACGATCTGTTAGTCTATCAGGTTTCACTTAGTTCACAATCTTCTGGCATGCCACAGACCTTACAATCGGAATTTTACATCTAACACACATACCCAAGGCCCTAGATAGCAAACAGAAACAAAGCTCTTTTTTTACCAGGTACTTTAAAACCTTTTTCCTTTGCCATGCCCATTCCAATTCATTACAAACCCTGCACACCTTTTTCTGTTCTATCTGCCTTTGAATCCACCTTGCTGATGGGACGAAGTGTGTGTCCAGGTACCTGCTGTAGCCTTCTCATCTAGTGCTGCTGTGTTCATCTGTTCTGCCATGCTCTGTCTTCTACCAAGGTGAAAATACAAATGGGAAAGCCCACGTTGTAGAATCTGGAGCTGACGATTTATTGTTCTGTCGGACCTGTCTCTCTGGATAAAGCCTTTCAGAAAGTCTACTCAGACTATTAACAAGAGTGACTTTCCTGAGTTGTTTAGAAATTATCAATGCACACTTTGACTTTTTTTAATAGCCAGTCTTATGAAGAGCACACTGGAAAATTTTTTTAAAGTGTTTTTAATCCAAAAGAGCATTAACAGCAACCAAAAAATAGATTGAGACAAAAAGAATTTTCTATTGCTTTAAATTTATCAGTAAAATGTTCCTTAGGTAACTAAGCTAACATGTAGTAGTTTTTTTTTTTTTTTTTTGTATCCCATTACTACAGTAACTAATACACCCCAATGTTAACAGGAAAAATAAAGGGTTACTTTCACAATGAACGATTATCTGACAGGTTCCTTCTTTGTCTTTTCTTTTTTTGTTTTTCTTTTTTCATTTTTTGAGTTATAGAGAGACGTTTATTATAGATTTCATAGGTAAGAGCTTGAGGAGAGGTGAGCAATGAGCATCTGAGCAGTGGGACACTCTTGTGTTTTTAATTCAACTTATTATGTTCATAAACATAGTGCCCATTTCTGCAGAAAACTTGCAGAGAAAAACACTCAATCGTTTTATTAGAACATAACCACAATTACATTTTCATTGTACTCTGGTTTTGTATGCATAGATGAGCACATGATAAATTTCCTTGTCTCTGGCTTTATAGCTCTAATTTCTGAGTGATGAGAAAATAAATGCAGGTTAAATGTTTCTTTAAAAAAAAAAAAGATTTGCAGTCTGTTATCAGTCCCTTGTCCTCACCAGTGTTTAGAGGATTCTTTAGTGATGTTATTAGCTGGGGCTAGACCCCTGCCTGAGCCCATGCTTTCCTCTTCCAGTGAGTACTCTAGGGAAGGCTATTCTGACTTATCCTAGATCTCAAATTTCATGTCTATCAAGAAGATTTATATTTTTTAACAGATTTCTTCCTCAAAACATCTTTGGTTAGATCATTTAGCAAGAAGTGTGAAAGATGATTATTCCTACTGTTACTGTTTTGCATTTAACAAGCATTGTTTCTGGGTTTCTTGCTACAACTCAAATCTGTCCTTAGAATAACAGTAGTCATATGTTAAGTCCACTTGTTTATTACGGAGGAGGAAAGTTCTGATTCATTTTGAAAATTAATTTACTTACTTTAATTGTAAGCCTAAGTGACTGCATTGACTGGTGAATCATTTGATACTAATAGCACCATGAATTGCTTTTTCTCCCCCTTGCCCTGTTTGCCCCAAATCCTGTTTTCATAGTTTCCTTAAGTAACCTTCTTTTTTAAGGCTGTTTTTATTGGGATAGAGTATTAAAAGCAGACAAACGTGTGTGCGTGTGCACATGTGTTGAGGCAGTCTCACTGTAGCTAAGGATGGCCTTAAATTCGTGATTGTCCTGCCTCAGCTTCTCACATCCTAGGATTACAGGTGTGTATCACCATACCCGCCCTAAATACTTTAAATAGCGTAAGTGTGTACTGTTGTACAGAGTTCTCTGTTAAGATCGTTTCAGAATGTCATTAGTATAAGACAAGAATTCTGATGAAAGAGAATTATTGTTCTTAGTTTTCCACTGATGCTCCTTAGAATTCCGTAGCATAATGTCTGGAGTTATTTTGTCAGAACGTTTTAATTTATCTGGTTCTCCTGACAGAGAGGAAGGCATAGATGTTATTCTGCTTCTAACTAAAACTTAAAGAGGTTTTTATCATTCTAGTTTATAATCCAGAATTTATAAAGTTAAAATAAATAATTTTCAGTCTGATTGCAGTAGCAAGAATTGGAGTATTGATGATATATATGATAACTGTGGCTTTAGAAAAGCCACTAAAGATTGTACTGGAACCAGAAGTATATATAGTAGTCATTCCTGCCATAAGCCAACCAGTATAAGCAGCATTTAGATCTGTACTCTGTGAGATTCCCTGAGTCCGGGACATGATAACCATACAGAAGAAGTGACACCGGCTGCTTAGTAAGCGATAACTGTTGTTCATTTGAATTACGATCTCCTCGGCCCTCCACTTGCTTTCTTACTGGTCTGGCCTACCTTCTTTCAGGCCCAGGCCTGGGAGTGCTTGCAAGATATAGTTGGGGTAAAATGTTGACTTTTGGTGGACACCACGGAGTCACATTGATGCAGATAAGGCACATGGCTGTGGCAGGATTCAGCTCCTCATCAATTTTCAGGTTAGTATGGCTGAATCAATTATAGTTTGTAGAAGTTCCCTTACTGCAGATTATTGGCAGTTGAGACTGGGATCTTTGTCCATGAGAGACATGGTGATCTGCTGCATTAATGTGGAATGCAATGATGGAACATGGTTGCAATCATGAAAAGACCTAGATATAGTTATTTGTTCAACTTATTCAGATTTTATTTTATTTTAGATAACCCCTCCTCAGACAGTTTCCTTGGCTCAGATGACACAGGAAGCTTTGGTAAAAGTGCAAATGGACAGTGGAGAAACTCCACTCCGGCATCAGTCTCAACATTACAAAAATCCAGAAACAGCCGAAGTCTTTACCTCGAAACCCGGAAGACCTCAAGGTTAGTTTTTTTGTTTACCTACTTCTCAAACCTTTCTTCAGATATAAGGGAAAGGCTATAAGATAGATGTGCATTGAAATTCTCAATGAGTAATACTATTTTAGGGCTTTACACCATAATGAGATACACAAATCTATCTCCTTAGTGTTGAATTTGGACAATAATCAACTATTGTAAATCTTTAAAAGGGACACCATTGAAGGAAGTCCTGGTGGGTGTAAATGTTTCAGACTCTTTAGGATAGTGTTCAAATAGTCTGCTAAATTTTAAAGTGGAAATTAAATGAGTCTCTGAAATTTGAGTGGCAGAGTCTACAGCATTTCACGTGAGCTGACTTGAATCTGCTCCACGTCTGAACTAGTTAGAGCCAAGTATCTTGTAACTCTTAGGAAGGAGAGGTCATAGAGAACCTTACACCTTTTCCCTTTCCAAGATTATACTGGTCATTAAAGACAGGTACTTCAGATATTATCATTATTATTTGGTTTTGTTTTTCAAGACAAGGTTTCTCTGTGTAACCCAGGTTGTCCTGGAACTCGCTCTGTAGACCATGCTGGGCTCAAACTCACAGAGCTCACCTGCCTCTGCCTCCTGAGTGCTGGCTGGGATTAAAAGCATGTGCCGTCACGCCTGGATTATTTTTAAATTTTGACAGTATTGGGAAATCATACCCAGGGAATTGTGTACACTAGCAAGTTCTCTACCACTGAGCTATATTCCCAGCCCATCAGTATTTTTGTTTGTTTGTTTGTTTATTGGAGATGAAATCTAATGTAGCCCAATCTGGACTCAAAACTCAGTATGTGGGCAAGCATGACATTGAGTTTCTGATCCTTCTGCCTCTAACACCTAGGTCCAGAGATTACAGATTTTCCAGGCTCCCAGCCCATGTATTAATAAAGCTTTTCTTCTTCTAACTTTTTAACTTCTATGTATATATCTGAGGAATGTGAAGTCATTTAGTTTCCTGGTTAACCAAGCTTCATGATTGACTGAAACCAACAGAATGGCTTTTATTTTCCTGAAGATTATCAGCACATGGATTCTGGGAATATAGTTATGACTCTTAGGGGTAATTTCACCAGTTTTTAATTTTTTAATCATATAAGATTTAGTACATTTATACTGTAAAAATTAAAGTGTTGACAATAAAGGAAAACTTTTGAGCTCCCCACAAGCTCCTCCTCCCATTGATCTTTCCTCCTAAGCCTCTTCCTGTCTCTGCCTGTCCATAGGTAGCAGCACTCATGTTGTATTTCCTATCTCTGCTTTCCCGTAGGTACACATAGTGCACTTATGTACACTATGCAATGCATGGTCTTAGTCCTCAATAAAAGTTCATGTATTATTTAACAAGTTGCTTTTTAAAAATTGATAACACCGTATTGTTATTTTTAATGATGTTATAGAAAAAATACATATGCTTTTTAAAAAATTTAAAAATATAGTTCAGCAAAAATAAAAATAAAACATCATATTTCTACCAGAGGACAACACTTGTAAAAATCTTTTCTTTCAGATATCTTTGTTATCTTTAGATCTTTTCTCAAAGATTAGTTCATGTTGTGCATACTCTTTTTTTTTTTAAGTATTAACTTATTGTTAGTATGTGATATGTATATGAGTTTGGCATCCATGTGGAGATTAGAGGACAATTTGATGAAGCTGATACTTCCACTTGTACTTGGGTTCCAGGGATTCTTGGGTTGTCAGGCTCATACAACAAGTACCTTACTGTTTAAACCGTTTCATCAGCCCCATGCTGTGCATACTCTTCTGTACCCCGCTTTTTTAGTATCATTTATGTCTCGTTTATCCAAACCAATGTCCTATGCAGAATCACACTTACCCGTTGTCTCCCTTAATTCTCTTGTAGTCTAGAATGGCTGGGGTCAGGCGCCAAGGGATTGGTTGTTGGTGTTTTAATAATGGCATGACTTTTTCCTGTGTAGCTGCCCTTGGCTTTGATAACTCTTCATGGTATCACAGTTTTATTGTCCATTCCCTGTGCTTTTTGTAAGTTAATTTTTTCAACTCAAAGAAATAATGATACTGCGTTATCCCACACTAGAAAACAGATGCTGTCTTGTGCCAGTTTTTCTGTCGTTAGTGATGGTAAATTGACAATCTGGTCCCTGCTTATACACTTAGAATTTGTATGATTTGAATATAACCTGAATGTGGTTACTTGGCATTATGTAAGTGAACAATTTCATTTTATCTAATCCTTTAGTAATTATTAATATCAATCAGAAATTCTTACCTAATGATATTTAGAATTAATGAAACTTTTTATTGTTGTTTCTTCTTATTAGTTGGCACTGTTTTTTTCATAAGTTAAGGTTTGAGTTCTCTGAAATACATTGTCTATTATGGGAAAGGTAGTATAAACGAATAGTTCTTTTTTAAATTCCAGTTTTCAAAGTAAGTTTAAAAAATTACTACTTCATATAGTTTAAATGAATTTAAATTATCATGTTGAATGAAATATTTTTTAAAATTCCCTTTAAGTGTTCTTTGTTCTTTTTGTTGTCCTGTTTGGTTTGGTGCTGCTAGGCAAAGTCTGTACTGAGCTTCATCCCAGCCCCATTTATTGCTTGAGTCAGTCTCCTTGAACTTGTGATTCTTCTGCTGTTGCTTCCTGAATAGCTAGCTGGACATAGGGCCTGGGACACCAAGCCCATCCTTGTTATTTTGTTAATGCTAATATTCTGACAGCATTGGTTTTGTGACCCAGAATAGCTGGGAAGTGGGGTACTTGCTTGTTTGCATTTTAGTGATATGGTTTCCCTGCCACATTCCCCTTTGAACTTGCTTCTGACTCTGGTAGACGCAACCTTATTGAATATGGTAGGATACTTGTTTACTGGCACTGCAAGGTATCTTCATACCTTTTTTTTTTTGTTTGGTTATTTTAATGTTGAAAAAAACACACTTGAGGAAGCTCAGATACAGAAGACATTGTAGAAAACCATTTTGCCTTTCCCAGACACTTGCACTGCTACTGCTTTCTTGTTAACTGTGTCCTCCCAGCCTGAGAGCATAAGCCTGAGCTGAAATCTGGAGTCCTTTGTTCCTTACTCTGTATTAACATAAAAATCCATAGGTTTTGAAAAGTTAGAGAGTATATTTGCTTTTTGGTGTTCTTTAGCTTCAGACCATATAATTAGTTTAGTTTACTGAATCTAGCTTAGTCAGCTGTTCAACTGTTTGAGTTCTTAGAGGGGAATGAAATAGAAGAAAAATTCATTTTGGTCAGAGTAAATACACTAGGTAATGGCAGATAGAATTATATAAGGAGGGAAAGCTTTAAACTAGTAAGGTTTTGAGTTCACAAAGGTAATTTTTTATGTCAGTTTTCCCACTAGGAAGGGCACAGATAGTAAGAATCCATAGTATGCTGTATAACTGGTAGATCACAGAGTGTGCTGTATAGCTTGGAAAAAAACATCTTCTGGTTACCTTTTTTTTTTGGATGTTTTGAGACAGGGTTTCTTCGTAGATTAGTAGCTTTTGGTTCCTATCCTGGAACTAGCTCTTGTAGACCAGGCTGGCCTCGAACTCACAGGAGATCCGCCTGCCTCTGCCTCCCAAGTGCTGGGATTAAAGGCCACCACTGCCCAGCTTGGTTGCTTTTCTTGATGGAGGAGAGGAAGGAGGAAATTAAAATTCACTGTAAAAGTTCAGTTGTGAGACCTCAGCTTGATCCATCCTTACATATTTAAAGTACCACCAAACTGCTTTAGGGACAAGACTGTGGAATAGAAATGAAGTATGGTAGGAAAAAAAATGTGTATGTGGTTAGTGTGCCTCCACTCTAGGTTTTCCAACAAAGACTAATCTGCTTTGTTCTCCCTCATGCTATATTGCTTGCTATTTGGTTCATTCTAGATTGTGGATCCAAGAAAAAGTTTTAATTATTTGATAAATGTATGATTTAGTAATCTCTCTCTCTCTCTCTCTTTGGTTTTTCGAGACAGGGTTTTGCTGTAGTTTTAGAGCCTGTCCTGGAACTAGCTCTTGTAGACCAGGCTGGCCTCTAACTCACAGAGATCTGCCTGCCTCTGCCTCTCTAGTGCTGGGATTAAAGCTGTGTGCCACCACCCGGCTGATTTAGCAATCTTAAGATCTTTTAAGAGACAGAACCTCTTATTTAACCTCATGTGTTATATTTTACATATTTCTCACAAATGTGCATCTGTCATTCTAGCTGTTTTTATTATTATTATTTCTTAAAATTGGAAATAATCACTAAGTTTATCTTTTCTTACAAACTTTTTTTTTTTAGTGGATTATCAAACACCTTTACAGGAAAGTCAAATCATCACTGCCATGTGTCTGCGTATGAAAAGTCATTTCCTATTAAGCCTGTCCCAAGTCCATCCTGGAGTGGTTCATGTCGTCGAAGTATTTTAAGCCCTAAGAAAATTCAGAGGCGACATTTCAGCACAGCTGAAGAGGTAAGGAAAAGCTGCAGCCATAGATGAGAAGAGCAGCTAGGGCCCTTCTTGCAATGAGCCATTTGTTGCTCTCACCCATACGCATATGAACCATTGTACTTACCTAATCCTCTTTGTGACTTTTCTCCCATAATTACTGTTGGAAATTTTGCCTTAAGTCCTAAAATGTTGGAAGAGCTTTATTTTCCTACAGTCTTCTGTCCCCATTGTTTCATAGCCTTTCAGAACTATTGTTTTCTTCAGTAAATCTGTAAACTTAGCTCAACAGGTTTGATCAGTAGATATTTGATCAGCAAATATTTACTCTTCTTACTAGGAACAGTTTTCCTCAATTTAAAAACAAAATATACAATAAGAAGAAATTAGTTTTTAAAAAGCTAGTTAGGGGTGAGGGAGGTAGCTTACTCATCGAAGTGATTCCCATCAATATCAGGACTTAAGTTCAGTTCCCAGCCCTCACATAGAAAGCTAGACATGGTGGTACATGTGGGGAGCCAGAGATGGGCAGGTGCCTTCCAGACTAGTGAAAGACATGTCTCAAAAACAAGACACAGCTTCTTGAACAACACCGGAGTTAACTATGGCTTCTGCGTGTATGTTTGCACATGCTCCCGTGTGTATGCATACATATGAACACACACACACAGAGAGAGAGAGAGAGAGAGAGAGAGAGAGAGAGAGAGAGAGAGAGAGAGAGAGAGAGATTACTTTTATTGAGCAGGATCATGGAGGTCATAGACTTTCTAAAAAGAAAGCTTTTCTATTGACACTTGAGTTGTCCTTTCCACACAGTAACCTAAAGGGTGAGACTGACTGTAATATAACCTATAACTGGCATAGCAAGAGGTATGTGTATTACGTATTTATTTTGTAGCTTACTGGTTTTAACTGGTTTCTATAGAGATACAAATGAATAATGAGGACCTTACATTTGTACAGTAGTGTTTTAGTGTGCTTTCCATATATTAGTATATTAAATGATTGAGTTCTTTTAGTGCAGTGAACTAGGTAAAGGTGAGTTTGTATTCATATCTTATGGGTTTGGAATGAAAAGTCAGCTGGCTGTTAACAGTATAGCAGGTCTCAATGCAGATCTTCTGACGTGTTTTTGCTGTGCTTCCTTTACACACATGGTGATATGGTTCCTGCCTAGCATTGCTAGATAATTATGGAGTTTGTTAATTGAAGATGGATGACTATTTGAAAGTGACAAATGTTCAGTAAGGATGTGCTCTCCAGAGTTTTAAGTTTGTATTGTATCCAAGAAGAATAACAGAATAATATTTAATAGAGCAAAGACTATGCAAGAAACTGGAACATTTGCCATTGGTAATGGAGCTAAATGGCAAGGATAAAAGGGAGATTGATTTTGAGGGCAGTGGAGGGTTGCTATGGAAACTGAGCCCAGAGCCTTGTTCATGGTTACTACTCAACTGACTTCTCAACACAAGTAATTTATTTATATATACCTTTTGCATTATTGAATTTTGTACCAAGTGTGTTTTGATATATACATAAGTAGTTTTCCTTTTTGTTTTTGTTTTATTGAGAAGGTTTCACTCAGTAGCCCAGGCTGGCCTTCAACTCACTGTATAGTCCAGGCTGGCCTCAAATTCTTAGTTCTCATGCTTCAGCCTCCCAAGTGTTGGGATTGCAAGTGTGAGCTACCTTCCCTGGGGTAATTTCTCCTTAATTTCTGGACTTGAAGAGTTTGTGTTTATTCTAGAATGAGCTATAGAAAGGCTCTGGGAAAGGAGAAGCAGCAGCATAGCAGCTAAGTAGAGCCTCCTAGAGGAGCCCAGGCTCGGGAAGTTGTCTGCCAGCCTGTCACTCTCCTGTCTCTTCCTAACTTCCTTGCTTCCTGTCACCTCCACTGCCATCCCAAGAACTTGGGCTAACCAAGTACATTTTTTCTTCTAGCCAACCTTCTAGGCCACAGACTGGGTGAGGGGAGAGTGGAGCTGGACTTCCTCTTCTGTTTGCAGCACAGTGAGATGGATGAGGATTGAACCTCAGCTATGGAATGAGGTGCAGGAAATTTTGGTTCAAAGGATTTTTGGGTTGTTTTCTCCAATTAAACAACTTGTAGTTGAGAATAACCCATATAAGTATGATGAAATATTAGAACAAACATTATTAGCAAATGTTCAACAAATTGTTTATTTAATTATTAATATTACTGGTAATGCAGACATAATACTTTCTCCCCACTAGAACTAGAGATTTTGTTTTGTGGGGTTTTTTTTGTTTTGTTTTTGTTTTCTTTGGTTTTTGCTTTTGTTACTTTGTTTCCCATTGGTTTTATTTTCTGTTGAAACAGTGTCTCCCTATGTAACTCTGGCAAGTCTTGAACTCACAGAGATCAACTTGCCTCTGCCTCCAAAGTGCCGGGATTAAAGATGCACCACCATGCCTAGCTGGAACTAGAGAACTTTTTATGAGAATTTACAAAATGTAAAAAAAAAAAAAAAAAACATAGAAATGTTGACATCTACAAGAAGAATTTTTGCTTTGCTTAGGGTGAAGAAGGAAGATGGTGTATTAATATCTAGTTAAGAATTGAGATTTGTCTTTGAACTTTTGGAATGTACTGCTATGCCCAAAATTGATGGTTAAGTTATCACCACTGCTATGGTCAGTTTTAAAACAGGGCCAAAACGGGGATTTTAAAATGGTTAAAAATGTACAAGTAGTAACTGTACAGCTATCGATTCAGAGTGTTGTCTAGCACCATTCAAATGATTTTAACTTCAGCCACATGGTACCACTGTGTTAGCTGCACAGATGTAGAGCACTCTGAGCTGCCGTAGCCTATGCTGTAAGTGTTGGAAAGGAGAAAATGGTGTGTCAATAAAAAGTTTAAATAGTAGAAATGTAAGTCAAGGACCAAGAGATGGCTCAGCAGATAAAAGTGCCTGCCAGCAAGCCTGACAACCTGAGTGCTGTCCCTTCACACGTGTCCACTCCACACTAAATAAATAAATGTGGAGGGAGAGTTTGAAAACCACAAGTCTTTATTGTAGTTAGGTACTGTGCTGAGATAGTCCCTGAGCTGCATTCTGTGGCTGGAGCATTGTGTTCTGGAGGGAGGGTGCCCCCACTCTCTTCCTTGTGGGATGCTGTAGTAGTAGTTTGACTAAAAACCAAACATTTTGGATTTGGCAGAAACATTTTTAACCAATTTGCTTCCGATTCATTTATATGTAAAGCTATTACATTATGCAAAATGGAATGGAGAGACTATGAAGATTCTAAATTATAGTAATTTATAATAGGTTATTAGCTTGCTGAAATTAATTTTGTGTTCTCATGTTTTTACAGTCTTACATCTCGGTTTCATGCTATACTCCTATAGAAATCCACCACATGCAGGATTTACTCACTTGTTGTTAATAGACTTCACTCTGTGTGAGTGTGATGAACGTATGTGGACCTGCAGGTGCACGATGACTTTATTCACCAGTGCAATTGTCACCTTCAGAAAATCTCTTAACCACAGTGAACTGTGTTCTTTTTAGAAGCTGCATACCATTAATTGTCCAAAGCAACATTTTCTTGTTGGCCAAGCTGCTTGAAACCTAAGTAAACCTTTAGAAAGATGTATATCTTTTAGTCTTCTTAATCCTTCCTATATGAGAGTCTCTGTTCTATGTTAGTATATATTCATTGTATATAATAATGAATTTCATTATGGCACATGCATGTATGTATTTGGTCATATAAGCTCCCAGTTACCCTCTCTTCCCAGGCCCTTCTCTTTGTCGTATTAGTTCTTTGCCCTACTCCTTTTTTTTTTTTTTAATTTTATTCATTTATTTAGAGACAAGGTCCTGGCCTGCCTTACCACTTTGAAGCCCAGAGTGGCCTTTATTTGCAGCAGTCCTCCTGTCTCAGCCTCCAAAGTAATGGAATTCAAGGTGTATACCGCCATTTCCACCCACCACCCTACATCTAAAGTTTGCATCTGACACAAAACATGAATTTGTCTGAGTCAGTCTTATTTAGCATGGTGATCTCTAGTTCCGTTCATCTTTCTGCAAACAACATGCTCACATTTTTTAAAGCTGAATAATAGTCCAGTGTGTGTGTCTGTGTCTATGTATCTTACTTCCTTTTTCTATTAATCCTTCATGGATAACTAGGCTGATGCATTAACTTGGCTATTGTGAGTAGTGCAGGTATAAACATGTTAATGCAGATTTCTTATTTTTTAAATGTTTAATTTTATGTGTACAGTTACCTTGCCTGCTTGTCTGTGCACAACTTGCAAACCTGGTGCCTAAGAAAGCAGAATGTGTTGGATCTCCTGGGAGAGGAGTTAAAGGTAGTAGTGAGCCACCATGTGTGTGGTGGGAATTGAACCCAGGTTCTCTGGAAGAGCAGCCAGTGTTCCTAACCAATGAGCCTCCTCCCCAGCCCTAGATTTCTCTATTGTATGTTGATTACTATCTTGGTTCCTTTGGACATATAGCCAAGGGTAGAGTAACAGAACCATATATTTCTGTTTTTAGGTTTTTGAGGAACCTCCATTTTGATTTCCCTGGTGGGAATTCCCTGCAACAGCACATAAGGTTTTTACAGCATCCCCATCCTATCGAGTATTTGTTGTTTCTTGATGACAGTCCTGACTGGAATGAGATAGAATCCCAATGCAGTTTTGATTTGTGTTTCTCTGATGGCTAGAGATGTTGAACATAAGATTTATTTATTTATTATGTATACAGTATTCTCAGTACTCTGCCAGAAGAGGGCACCAGATCTTATTACAGATGGTTGTGAGCCACCATGTGGTTGCTGGGAATTGAACTCAGGACCTTTGGAAGAGCAGGCAATGCTCTTAACCTCTGAGCCATCTCTCCAGCCCTATAGCCCAATTTTTAAATTCAGAATTCCTCTGGTACTGCTTTTCAGGTCTTCCAGGAAGGTTTAACTTTGATTCTGAATTGTTTTGTACAGCATGAAAAGTTGGGAATCTAGTTTCATTCTTCTACAGGTGCACA